GACGCAGCTTTGGTCTTGGCAGAACCAGATGAGGGGCTGTTGCTGGTGGCCAGACTGTCCTTGCCACTCCTTCTTTTCTTGAGTGGCAGGCATATCGCCGCAGAGATCAGACTGAAAGGGGGAAAGACAGTCCTGTCTAGGTGGTAGTTTTATGGAAGATTTGGGGCCTTGTTTACCAGAGACATGTGGCCTGATTAAAGGGTACACTAATACCTTTCCAGAATGACTGCTCACCCTTTACTGAGTGTGGTGGTGGGACTGTTTGGGGCTTGGCTTTTCCTTTCTCTTGGTTTGATTTGAATGCTCCCTCCCATCTTCTGTTTATTTATTTGTGTGCATGTGTGTGTGTGCGTGTGTGTGTATGTGTGTGTGTTTCTTCATGAACTTTGTTCTTGATTTCCATTTCCCCCCACCTTTGAACTTTGTAGAGTTATCTCCCCCGGGTAAATTCCTAAACTCTTAAGGCTCACTTTATTTTCTCGGCAGCTTCCTTGTATCTCTTATATGATCTCAGCCCATGAACATTAATCAACAGAAAACCAAATCCATCATTATGGACGCTGCCATCGAGATACCACTCAGGTCTTTGCCCTCCTGTTGTCTTATTCTATAAAGTGGGACTCCATTTCCCTCTCTGTTTAAATCCCTCTTGCAAGGTCTGTGTGAGCTTCCTATTTATAGTAAAATCCTTTTTATAATGATCTCATACATGGTATCAGGAAATTGCTCATGGCTGGGTCAGGCCATAGGCCAGTATAGCTGTGGTGTAAGCTTTACTTAAAAAATAAATTCCTTCCAGAGCCTCTGGAATTCTCTGGAGAAGTGTTTTCACAGAGTATGTGACAATAAACAGGATCACCCAGTATGGATTACTGTGGTAGGGACATGAAATTTAAGTTCAAAGGGAATTTCTGTTTTTATCAGGCCAATCTCAATCATCTTTATCCCTTTGGGCTTCCTAAATGACGTATTGGGTGAATCAAGCTGACTCTAAAGAGATTTATGAAATATTTTATATGCAAGGTATGGCCAGGAAGTGTTTGCCTCTGGACTTTCCAGGAGGCAGATAGTCTATGGGGACATAGAAAACCCAAAGGTGAAGCCAGCCCCATAATCTCTTTGGGTTTCGGTTACGTCATCTTCAAATAATCCCCACTTCACAATGTTTTTGTGAGAATCAGTGAAACAACATATGTAAAGCATCCAGTGGAAGGTCTGTCACAGTTTTGTAGTGTAATAAATGTCTGTTTCTTTTTCTTTTCAAGAAACCGTTGAATAAGAGGGAGGCTGTCTGGGTAGGAGCAACCTGGACAATCAATTGTAGTCTTGTTCTTTCTTATATATTTGTGTACAAGATGATGTTTGTCCTACTGTAGTAGGGGTGCAGCGTTATTTTTCCAGCAACCCAGTGCCCTCAGCCACCCACTCTTGTTTACTCTGGGAGCTAGACATGACACCAGGCCAGATGACTGACCAATCCATTTGGACATGGACCAGCACTTCTCTCTGAGGACTTGGGAAATAAACCATGTAGTGAATGATATTCAGAGTGACTCTACCACAGGGAAAGCAAACACAGTGTTCTGTCCCCACTAGGAGGGATGTCCCAGGGGTGTCACTGGGCTGTCTACTCACATCTCTGCCATCCTTTCTAAGCCATTCATCCTCTGCATTGTGGTTAACCATTTCCTGCATGCAGGGCATTCAGGTATTCCAGTGATGAGTTAGACATGGTGCCCAACCTGAAGGAGGAGATCACTTAGTACAGGGAGCTGAGGCAGGTATACACGGGTATAAACAAGAAAAGGGTCATAAAAGTGATGTCAACAGAGTGCCCTCCCCAAGGCCTGACTGGTCTTTCTGGCTGGGGAATTGGGAGAGCTCTATGGGAAAACTCTCACCCTGAAACCAATCCTAAATGCCAAAAAGTATAAGAGAACCAGATGCAGAAGCTTCTGATTAGTCTATCCCACACCATTTGACCAAGATGAAAGGAAGCTCTGAGTTCACTATTATGAGAAGAGTGTAGGATTTTGCCAAAAATGAAGCATAACTCTTCACTGTCACTTTCTCTGCTGGGTCATTGCTAGACTAAAATGATACCCTTCCCCTCTCCCCAGCAATGACATGTCACAGCTCCACACAGCAGGGCCTACAACTGGGGTCTTAGCACCTTCTTCACCCCCTTGGTCAGGCCCTTTGTATGGCCAGCAACCAATACAAATATATGTGGGGATCCTGCACTGATTCTGTCTTCTCAGAAACTTCTCTTCATTAGATGAATTAAATTCTGTTCCTTTGGTCTTTTTACACAGGACCAATTTCTCTATCACTACCTGCTTTGCCCTACTAGATAATTTCTGAATTTTTAACTTCTTGCAGTATTGGAGTCCCTGATTCAATGAGGGCATTCTACCAACGATCTCTTGGTGGGAAAGACTGTAAAGAATTACCTGGGAGTTCTTATACTCTATTCTACTTCATCCTCATAAATCACAAGGCATACACTGTGTTGGAGAAAACCAGATTCTTTGGTTGCTTAAAGATTTTGTGAAAGGAGAGAAAATCTGACATAATAGGAAGTCCCTAAAAGAACAGGGGAGACAGATGGTGAGGCTGGGGCTCCTGAGACTTTTAGTGGGATGATACACGTGGACGTCTTTGATCGCTTTTCATGTGGGAAGCTACTTGAGTTGTGATTGGCATCTCCATATTTTCTTTCTAGTTCCTATCGCTTTGGTTTACACTCAGCCCCGAAATTTCACATACCCCACTTCTTCCTATTCACTTTTTGATTGATCTCTAGGATAATCTCTAAATAAGAAAACCCTGAGTTTATTTGCTTCATAGAAATGCTTTGATTTTCTTTTAAGATTTTTTAATTTAATTTAATTTTATTTATTTGACAGAGAGAGAGATAGCGAGAGCAGGAACACAAGCAGGGGGAGTGGGAGAGGGAGAAGCAGGCTTCCTGCCGAGCAGGGAGCCCGATGTGGGACTCGATCCCAGGACCCTGGGATCATGACCCAAGCCGAAGGCAGACGCTTAACGACTGAGCCACCCAGGCACCCCATGCTTTGATTTTCTTTATTTTTCTTTCTTTATTTTTTTAAAGATTTTATTTATTTATTTGAGACAGAGAGAATGAGAGACAGAGAGCATGAGAGGGAGGAGGGTCAGAGGGAGAAGCAGACTCCCTGCCGAGCAGGGAGCCCGATGCGGGACTCGATCCCGGGACTCCAGGATCATGACCTGAGCCAAAGGCAGTCGCTTAACCAACTGAGCCACCCAGGTGCCCCATGCTTTGATTTTCTTAAGAGAGTTCTAGAAATGTTGAAGATGGCAAGTGAGAGAGAAGGATGAAAGGAGCTTTCCACTGGATTTGGGCAACTAAAATTTTAGAGAACAATTTTTGCAGGCGTACTGATTTTGGAGATTATTTGCAAAACCGTTCTTTATGACCTTTGATGTCTTTGAGATGCAGTGGGTGATGAAGAAAAAACCCACACTCAAGAGGCCACAGGGTGTGGTCAGCTCCTCCGTCTGCCCCCAACAGCCAACACCTTTTTTGCAGGGAATTATCTGCCTCCCTGAAGATGAAAATCAATGATTTAGAAACTGATTAAACAATCCAAATAGCAACTGATAAATGGATTAACTCTCTATAATGTAATTCTGCGAGCTTTTGTCTTCTGCCTTCCCCAGGTAAGTTTTTCTATTCCTGGAGGCAAAGCAGAGGCATGGAGGAAGTGAAGGCCAGAGGGAATCATATTAAAGTGGGTGAATCCGTTTATCACTTACTGTCTGGATGGTATTTCTGCTCACATATCTGCTTCCTTTTACAGATTTGTACCCTACGGGACCCTGATTAATGTTAGCCAGTAAATAATGAAAGATAGCAGCAGACATTGGGTATAGCGAGGAGGAAGATACCCCCGTGGTTTGGGCTGATCCCATAAACAGACAGACTTTTCTTCTTAGTTGCAAACAGGGAGTATTCATGTGACAAAGAAATCTCCACAATAGGGATCGAAAAGCAAGAGAATGGAGGCATTTCTCCCCATGCAAAGAAACCTGTCCAAGCTTTTTCAGCCAGCCCCTAGGAACTGAGGATGATTTCAGTGCTTGAGAATATGTGCCGTTCTCACAAGCTTTGTTTTTAAGATCATGTCCCAAGATTTTTCTTTGCCTTTGGATAAGGACCTTTGGCAGGGGTGGCTTACACAGGTCTTAAGCCTTAAGGCACACTCACAAACTCACCATTCAACTTATCTTTGGCATGAGGCTGAGCTGAGTGCTCAGGTCTGATTCTAGGCCCTTGAGGTCTGCTGATTAACTAGTCCTGGATTCTCTCCATACATGCAAGTCTGACTTTAGGGAGATGAGGCTGAACAAGAGTGGACACTTGTGTACCTACCAAGATGTTCATCAGAGTCCCCAGAAACATCTTCAGTGTCCTTCCTGGGAATGACTATTATCAGTTCTTCTTTGTTTTCATTTTCAGGGACAGAAGGAATATCTCCCAAACAAGAGCATCTTTCCCAGGGGAAAGGCCTAGGCTTTGCCCATTCTCTCTCCCTCTCATCCCACCACTGGTTATGGTTACTACCTGCTGTTTAAAGCCTAAGCTCCAAGAGTTGGTTGTTCAGGGATGAGAGAAGTTTACTTGACTAGTAGGCCTTCTGGATGCTTTGCTCATCCAGGGAATGCAATCCGAGGAGCAAGGTAGTTTTTGTAAAAACACCGAGATGGGTTTTGCAAATATTGCCGAAATTAAACTAAACTCTGGATGGCTTGCAAGAGATTAGAACTATTGAGCTGAAGAGGATCAAAAAGAAAACTTAGACCAATTTAACAACTTGGTTGTAATGAAACCTCGCATTCTAGACTTGATATTCTTTCTAAAACAGATTCTGCCACTCTGTGGGAGATAAAGGGCCAGTAGAAACTCATGTCAGCCTAAAATCAGATTTTTTTTTTTTTTTTTAATGTTTCCATAGCCCAGAAAGGACCGGATGGGACAGTCATTCCCAACAACTACTGTGACTTCTGCTTGGGGGGCTCTAATATGAACAAGAAGAGTGGGCGGCCTGAAGAGCTGGTATCCTGTGCAGACTGTGGACGATCTGGTGAGTGTGGCCCCTTCTTGCATCTGTGCCCATAGACCAGGAGCTGTTCCACTTGCATCCCTCCACCATCTTGTGTGGGGGCTGGAGGGTGGAGTGGAGAAGACATGGTGGTGATTTTGGGTGGAGAGGAGTTTTCAAGTCATTTTGATATTTTTCTTCTTTGAGTCTTAAGAATGAAAAGTTGTGCCCTGGGCTATAGGAAGAGGGGAAAGGAGCTTCTGGCTTATGTCTGGCCTCTCCACGAGGTGGATATTTCTTTGTGTGTATCGTGGTGGACAACAGTGAGCTAGTATCTAAGAAACACCTGGAGACACAAGCAACATGCTTCCTTGTATCAGATGGTGCGCACCTAGCAAAGAGATGTGTGTGTTCTCTGGAAGTGCCCAGGGCATCCTGGAAGAGTATGGAAACATGAGTGTAAGGAGAACAGCCACATCTTGAGCTGTGGGAGTCTGAGGCCCCCGGGGCTCATGGGCAACTGCATAAAGACCACCTTCATTGGCCACTCATCCCATTTTCCCATATAAAACAGACAAAAGAGACCCTGATAGATCAAGGGGGCCAAAAGGCGGGTGTTCTCAGGGCTGATCTGGAGTCGACTTGGCGTGTTTTAAAATTTTCATCTTTGACCTCTCCAAAGACTAAAATGACAGAAACAGATTTGGGTCTTGTTCTCTCATTCTTAAACTGAGTTCAGGCCTTCAAGTTTTGTTCAAGATGTTTCATTTTGCAATTCTAACCAAGCCATTATCTTTGGCTAGTCGTGGTTGGTTGGTGAGACCTATTTTTCCTATTGTTTGATGTGCTAGTGAAGCCAAAGCACAAGGCAGGGAGGAGAAATGATCTCAGCTTCATCTTCAGTCCAGCCCAGTGCTGACTAGTGGGTGAGATGCTGTTCAGCTGGGTGGTTGCTGTAACAGTGAGAAGCCATTGCTCCTTCCCATATTTCTCCCCACGGTCTTTTCTGCTCTGAGGCCCAGGAGTTTACCCGCACCTGAGTTTACTGTAACAACTCAGTTCTTCCCTTGCTTTGCTTGTAAACCTGAACTTCAGTCTTTTTATATTTGTTTTTGGGCTTGTTTAGGGTTCCAGACTGACTTGAGTAGCAAATCAGTAATTGGAAAAGGACCGTGGTCTCTAGTGCACATACCCTCAGCAGTGAGCTCTTAAGGACCTGACTGGGTGGCCCGTCCATGTTCATTTGTTTTCCAAACAGGATACCTAATGTTGAACTCTTTACTCTGCTGGTGCTAGCTTAGAGGAGAGGGCTCACGTGACAGTGTACTCGGGGTTTTAAATACTTAAAAGAAAATGAATAGTTTTAGAAATAATTAAAGAAGATGAAACAAGTGAAATTCAACTCAGTGTTTTTTAAAAGCAAACGATCAGACAAAATCTCTATTGCCAGAAGCAAAGTCACCTGGCGGAGTGATATTCTAGGCAGAATGTGATGGACTATTATGGGTTTGGGGTGCAGTAGAGAGGGCAGCTTCAGAATGCTCACTGCAAGCTGCTTGACTCTTCTCCTTTTCTTCCCTACAAACGATGGGGTACTTGGATCTGTTCCACGGGGGACCAGACGTGGGCACTTCGTATTGTCTGTCCAAAGCCTCTCTCCTCCCAGCCTTTATTCAGCATTCCTCCCCGCCCCCCCACCCCAGGATCTGTCTGCTATGTGACTCAGGGGCTATTTGATACCAGCCTAGGTGTTCTCATTGCATTTGCCAATTTTGGTGGATGATTTAGTCAAGGTCTGACTCTGATGCTCCTGAAATAGTCACTACCTTGGGAATAAACAGGTGGCATTAGCCCATGAGACATGCTTGTGAAGGCAGGTGGGTGAATACTTCTCTAGGGCCTCCTTGGAGTCCTTCCAAGGAAGAGTGTGAAGCTCAGAAAAACCGTCTTTCCCTTCCCATCTTCCCTTCTACCTCTGTTTCCTGGGGAGAAAATGAGATTCCTGAAATTGACACCATAAGTGAAACATTGTGACCTCATTTGGGGGCGGTCCTGGGGCCCATTTACAGTGTGAATAAGTTTAAACCTGAGTTTTCTGGATTTCAGGATACTGTATTTTATTAGGCTTTGAAACCCCTATTTCCTGCTTTTTTAGTGCTCTGAGTTAGTTTGACAACTCTGGACTTTCTGGAGTAACTAAGACCGGGGCGTGTTTAGTGGCTGGAGTGTGTGTGTGTGTGTGCACGCGCATGTAGGCGGGTGCAGATCATCGGAATTTCCTCCAGTCGTTAAAGAAAACAAAAGACTCTTCTGTGGCCTACCGCTTATCAGACTTTCCAACTTCTCGCTTTCAGTGCAAATGAACTACGTGGTGTAAGGGCAGAATTGAAAGGGTGCCATAAGAATGGGACTAGAAATGGGTAAAAATAAAAATAAAATGGATGGAGGCTTAACCACCTTGAATGGGTTATCTGACAGTAATACTTTTGTAAAGCTGACTGTCAAAGTGAAGGACAGTGTTCAAAGAAACACCAACCGAAAACACCAAAGAAATACCAACCAGGCTTAAAAACCACCAAGGCAACTCGTTGTCTGGGGCGGGCTTGAGCGGGCGTGCATGCGTATGCGTGCAGACAGAAGACGGGAAAGAAAGACCACGGTTGAATCTGTCGCTGTCAGAGCTGTGGACGTATGCATTATGGTAGAGATGATGCCTTTCTGGGGAGGGAGGAATCCTTTTCCCTGGAAATGTTGGCTTTGTCCCGTTACCCTGAATCCCTGTCACCAGGTGATGCACCCAGCTAATCCCTTTTGGTGTGAAATGGTTTTTGGTCTTGCTATTAAGAGTAACATTGTAAGAATGTAATAAGAATATTAATAGTGCTGTCTGTTGCTTAACCCATGTGCTGATATATTCATCATACATGTCAGCTCATTTGGGAGGAGAAGGCAGGAAGGAGGAGGCAGCGGCCGCAGCACGCACCACGGAGGACTTATTCGGTTCCACGTCAGAAAGTGACACGTCAACTTTCCACGGCTTTGATGAGGACGATTTGGAAGAGCCTCGCTCCTGCCGAGGACGCCGCAGTGGCCGGGGTTCACCCACAGCAGATAAAAAGGGCAGTTGCTAAACCCACGGAACAGACTCTCTGGGCGACTAACCGTCACCCTCTGACTTTGGTCATTATTCTGGGTCTGATATATATTTTTTTTAAATGAAAGTCAACTTTAGGTTTTCCCTTCATCCTTGCTTTTTCCTCTCTCCTTCCACACGCATCCTCTCCCCCCGCCCCCCATTTTGGGTATGTACAACAGAAGCACAAACTACTGAAACAAAGCAGAACAAAAGAGCAGGATAACAGTCCTTCAGAGAGATGGCATTGTGACGTACTGTTTATTTTCCGTAGAAATGGGAAGTTAGGCGGATTGTCTCTCTTTGGGGGGTGGGGTGGGGATCTTTTTGACATGAGCAGAGTCGATTTCCTCAGTTTTCCTATTTATTGGCAAAATGAAGAGAGGAGGAACATTGGGTTTGGAAACAACGAATAACATTAAGAATGATTATTTATGTATTCTAGCTATTATTAGAAATGGACCTTTTTTTTTGAGAGAGAGAGAGAGAGAGAGAGAAGGCAAATCAAAGCAATTGAAGTGATATCTTGCTTGGGAGAGAGCCCCTGGGGGAGGGATTGATTCAAGGACACCTAGTCGGGAGGATTTCCTCGCTGGGAGATGATGGTGCTTTCTGTACCCCACGGAGTGTGTGACTCCCTACGGCAGGCCCCCTCCCCATTTCTGCCCCCTGACCTTTCCATCTTCCTCCCTGCTTGCGAGAAAATGTCAGCAGCTCCTGGGAAGTCTGGGCCTCACGTGTGGCCTCCCTCCAGTGCCTGGGCCCTGACTCCAGCACCTCCCAGGCTCCTGCCCTCCACCAGCATAGCTGTTGTGGTGTAGTCGCTGGGCTTCTCCTCACTTTCCTCCTGGCGAAGAGCAATTTCCGAATGCAGGAATGGAATATAAACAGAAAGTCATGGACTCAGCAGTGACAAAGCAAGCCGAGGCCGCGCTCATGGAAGGAAGAATGATACCTCACAGTATATGTCCCTCTCCCCTGGCCCCTGTTGACAAACATAAATTCCCGTTGGATGATCAAGTCTCCCGTGTTTCTTCTTCCATTTTTTTTTTATAGTGCCCTCCAGGCACTTTGTTTTATGTTTCCAATAGCACCTCCTGAAATAAACCAAAGCGACACTTGCTCAAGGTCCCTGGGCGATGGAGAAGACCATCCACCTTGTTGGCAGTCCCAAGAATGAACAGCTGTGCAGTCCTAGTCAAAAGGTATGTGTTGGCTGGCCTGTCTTACAGGGAGGGCAAAACCATCATAGTTGTTTTTTGTTGTTGTTGTTTTTTGTTTGTTTGTTTGTTTTTTCTTTCTTTCTTTCCTGTTCCTCCCCCGGCTTGTCTTTTGTTTTCCTGCGTTCACACCACCTTATTAGTGTGGGCCTGGCTACCGGCGTGGAGTGTCTTCCCTCCAGCCCTCTGCTTTCTGCGTGTGCATGCTTAGCCACGTGGGCCTGGGCCTAGTGTGGCAACCGAGGCTTGCTTGGACTATGGGAGGGACCCTGTGCAGAGAATGGTGGGCTTCTGGCTTCTGGCTTCAGCCATAAGAGAAAATGGCTGGGGCAGTGCTTGGCTCACTCTGCCTCCCTTGGCTGCATCTGGTGGGTGGAGTCCAGGGGTCTGAGGTCGGAGCTGGCTACTGTACTTGGGTGGAAGGAGAGAGTTCAGCCACATGGGGTCTGCATGTCTAGGGTGGTATTCCTTGCTCCACGGACCAACTTAATAGCCAAGGGGATGAGTCCAAATTAAAGAGGATCTCTGATTAGGAAAACACTCAACTGCACTGATCTGAAGATTCTAAACTTCCACTAAGTGTGGTCAGGGTCTCCGGCCGCCATGAGAGCACAGGTCCAGAGACATGGGCGCTGCCATTTGGCTCGGGTTGGGAGAAGCAAGTAGCCACCCAGGCAACAGGCCGCTTG